CAGCTGTGCCAGTGGTGTAGGGGCATCATGCAGGGTTCCCAATCTTGCGACCTGGGTTCGAGTCCCGGCTGGCGCATGCCTCCTTCTACCTTTTGCCCTTCAGGGATCTGCAGGCAGCAAAACCAGGAGAGATTTTCATCCCATCTTCCCAGTGGGAGAAAAATATCCATGATGTCAAGCTGAATAGTAGCTATGAGAGCCAAAGGGAATCTCTGGCAGCAGCTATGAATCTTCAGAGTGAGGGAGGCTGATGCCAAGGTCTCTGTGGCGCAAGGGGTTAGCGCATCTGGCTGTTAACCAGAAGGATGGTGGTTCGAGCCCACCCAGGGATGGCCTTCATGACATGATCCAGAGATGAAGGTGATGGATCGTTAGTGTATTGGCTCTTTATCTGGGGCTTCAGTGTCCACTGTGTCAATGCTTTTCCCCCAGGACTTAAATATTTGGTCACCTGTTGCATTAGTTTTGCCTTCCGCAATGCAAAAGGGAGAGGAAGACATATCACCTTTCTTGAGGATTCTGTTGGCCACAGAAGATCCCTCAGATGGTTTCTCTCCTTTGGGCAGTTAATCCAACCAGGACCAGCCTGCTTTGGGAGCTCTCCAGGGTCCTGAAACAGCTCTCTTCTGGTGCAGGAAATCCTTCATTTCAGTGCTTTAATTCTACAATCCACTACTGCCTCCTTTGAGGCTCCGTGCAAGACCTCAATACTCCTGCTGACATTTCTGTTCTCCTTTAGTGTCCTCTTGCAGTCCTGTAAAGATTTGTTAGATTAATTTTGATTTGGAAAAATATAATCAGGGTGCTGCCATGGTACAAAGCAACAGCTTCCACTTCGCATTTAGGGCGGCTTTTCCTTCTTCAGCGCTTTCGCTGGGCATCACCAGCTGGTCTTCTGTGAAGCAAATACTTTGCTGGTACCAAGATGGGACCTGATACTTGGGGCATTAAGCTCCTGCCTTCCATTCAGGTGTCTGGGCAAGTTAGTTTCCCACCAACTTCTCCAGCTGGTCTCCTAGTAAGTGGAGGTTCTGTGATGGCCGCTGCCGCATTGGGAGTTCCACTGACTTCCCCTCAAAATCACAAATGTGATCAATCATCAAAAAAGAGTGGGGCCTTGCTGTCTGGGATCCACTGTAGTGTGACTCTGCTAGAAACGGAGACTCTGGTCAAGGTTTGGGATGAATCACACCTTTTTCTGACAGATAGAAGTTGTGGGGATTAAAATGCAGCTGTTGGCTATATTTTTAAAACTCGGAAGGTTGAAGACATGGGAAGGCAGCTGGTTTCAGAAAGGCTGTCTGAGAAATGTGTTCCTGCATTGTTTTTACCACTTACAGACAAAAGAGAGAGAAGAACATAGCCAACCATGACTTGTACACCGTTTCTAAATAGGGAGCCTCTCACAACACTGCCGTTTTGGAAGAAAACCTCTCACAAGCAAGATTTGAAAGATGGCCAAACCAGCACTCAGAACTCAGCACCTTCCCAGTTATTCTGATCAGTTGTTTAGAAGGGTGACTCTTTCAAAGGTGAACACCAGGGACCAGTCCCGCTCTGGGCTATCCTGTTTATCCAACTCATCCTTCTGACATCTCAGGATAGTCCCATTCCACTATTCGTGGCCACTATTTTACATCGTTCATCTATCCTAGCAGTTTAATCTTATTGGTTTACATATCACATTGCACTTTGGTCCCCAAAAGGTTGACTTGGGGACTTTTTCCCAAAGAAAAACTCACCTGAAACACAGGATTCAACCCGCAGCCTGAGAATGCCTGAAATCATGCTCCTTTGTCCTTCTCTGGCAGCTGAGCTCTGGAAGGGCACAAAACACTGAGGAACAACAGCTCTTCAACCCATCTGATACTGCAGACACCAGGCTGGGATGGCCAGCAAAAGATACAGGCATGCTGGTTGAGAGCTGCCTGTGCCTGTGGTTTCTGTGGTGTAGTGGTTATCACATTTGCCTCACACGAAAAAGGTCCCTGGTTCGAAACCAGGCAGAAACAGAAGTTTTTCTCGGCATTGGAGCCACTCCAAGCTCTAGGGAAGCAGAGGAAATGGCTGCACACTAGAGAAAAGCAAGAAGCACCCCATTTTCTTTTCTCCCTTATGAAAGAAGGAATGAGTAAGCAGAGGCTGCTTTCAAGCCACCAGCCAAGGAGAACTAGTCATCCCAAGCCAAGAGCCAGAGGTCATGTATGAATTTTACAAATTTCAGCTTCCAGAATTCTGAGTACCAGGGAAGAGGGAGGGCTTTCCATGTGTAGCCTGCCTGAATGATCTTAAGCACAGGAGGACTTAAATCCAGAACCTTTTAGAGTAGGGCTGTGCATCTGTGCCAGTGGTGAAGTGGCATCATGCAAGACTTCCAATCTTGTGTCCTGGGTTCAAGTCCCAGCTGGCACAGACTTTTCTCTCCCTTTTGCAAAATACAACATTACTGAATCAACTGTTTTACCCAGGAGGGATCCTCCAATTGCAAAAACAGTTGATTTTTAAGAATTTGTGAGGAACGAGACCCCCCCCCCAATAGAAGAGCATATCTGTAGCTCAGGATTGAACTGTGGGGTCCTTGGTGCTCTCTTAGCTTGGTTGTTTGCTTGCAGACGTTTCATTAACTGACTAGGTAACATCTTCAGTGCTAGAAGGGAGTGGGGTTTGCTCCCTGTTTATATACAGTGGCTTGCCCTGCCCGTTTTAGTGAGGGGGTGGGTTTCTCCTTGGTAGGTCCTAGGTTAGGGGATTGTTTTTTGCTTGTTTGTTTGTCTG